CACAAGGTCAAGTCACTTGAGCAGTGATGGTGAACCTTTTAGTTTAGAAAAAGCAACTCATACATTAACATCTTTTGTCTTAAAAACGAAACAAAACACACATGCCATAGCTTCACCATCACTGCACCGGAATGATTCGGAAAACCTCAGCACTTGAATTTAAATTAAGGTGCTAGAAAACTAGGTGAACCCCAGGCACCTATAAGAAGCCAATGAAAATCCCCTTTGCAGCAGATACTATCATCTAGGACCTGGGATTTTTTCCCATCATGTTCTTTTAATGCCAGAGTCTATGATCTTAACAACTTTACTAAACTACAGTGGGCAAAAAAGTGCATGAGAAGGACATGTTGGAACACAAAGGCCACCTAAATCCAAACCCACGTGCTGTTTGGATTTCTTATCAAAACTTGTAAGAGTGATCAGCCAGCACTGAAGAACCTCTTTAAGGACAAACACACCCCTTTTCATTCAGGTGGGAGCCCATTTTGCATAGCTCCAACTTTGAGAACACAAGCTAAAATCCACGACTAATTTCTCCCCACTGGCCCATTTCCCATTCTCTGAGGTTACAAGGTTCAGTCTGTGTCCAATAAAAGCCCCCCATATATTTAAAGACACTTTTGAGGTCACCCCTGTTTCTTCTTTAAACAGCTTGTCTTTTGGTGAAAACTTGATCAAAATCTTTTTAGCTCCTTCACCACACTAGACAGTCATGGACGTGGATGGCTTCTGTCCAGTTAAAATGGTACTTGAGACTAAATGCAACACTCCAGGCATGGTCTGAAAAGCACAAATCAAGCAAGAGTCACTGCTGCACCCTGGACTTCAACTTCTGCAGCGTAACAAAGTGTCTGAGTGAGAGCTAAGATGTCAAAGTGTTCTTCAGGATGTGTCACATCTCAAGCTCCAGCCAAAAACTGGCCTTTGCTTTTTCAGATAAGCTCCTCTCCTCAGGCCCCTTGTGTGTACCTTTTGCTCTACTGGAAAAATTCTTGCACACAGAGCCTTTGTGTGGAGTACTGCTATCAAGTTCAGACCTAGCTTAAGCTGCAGCTCTGACTCAATTCCTGTTTTCAGCCCCCTCTCGTTAGACAAGTCATTATATAATTGCTCACTTCGTGACTCTACCTCACTGTACAATAAGCTCCATAAAGGCAGGAACTTATGGTAGGTGTAATTACTGTAGCTTCTTTCTTCATTCAAACATATTCCCACTTGCAGTTGTGAGTCATTGCTGAAGGAGGCAAAAATAAAACTTTATAAAGCTATCATTACAATCAAAATAAGAATGAAGCCAAATATGGTGGTACAGTCCTATAATCCTAGCACTTGGGAGGCTGAGGCAGGAGAATCGCTGTTAAGTTTGAGGCCAGTCTGGGCTACATAGTGAGGTTAAGGCCAGCCTAAACTACATAGCGAGACTTTGTCCCAAAAAACAAAAAAAAAAATTAAAAATAATGAAAATGAAATACAAAAACCTCAAATAAATTTTACAAACAGCAATATACATCTATATAGCACCATTACAACCCTGAACTTTAGGATTTTGTCACCAACTGACCACCTGACACTTGGATATCACATAGTGACATCAATTTTAACATGCAAAACTGACTCCTGATCTGCCATCCCACTGCTATTTCATCCCTTCTCCATTGCTGTGTTTAATAAATCACACATCTGACCCTTTTAGGTGCTGCAAACAATTACAAGTGGAATGGTACAGGTGACTGGCACTGGCCTACTTCCTCTGCACCCCCTAGGGGACCCTGATAACCAGCTTGGAGGGGTTATCATCTGCCACCACTCCACACTTATGCAAAACCTAATATTTATCCCCACCATTTTAGGGCAATCAGCCACTTGGGCCTAATGTGGCCTTGGGGGAATCTGTCAACTCAACATATTGAATGTATCTCACCAGCCCTGTACCTACTACAGACTTCGTCACTCAAAGGGCCCCTCCTTCTGGAACCCACAGCTCTCAGGGCTTAAGAGCAGTGAAGAAGTCCACTGGGTTGCACACACTCAGGCAGCTTAACTGGCCTCCCAACATATACTACAACCTATCTAAGCTGGACTCAAAGACAGGAACTCACAGATTGGAAATGATATCCTAGTATTTCTGTCTCTGCTAAGCCCAGGCTTACCTGTCCTACAACCAACTTACATCCCATTATAAACAGAAAAGAGGTAAGAGGCTGCTTGGAGATTCTAGCTTTGACAGGTTTTTTCTGACAGTCTTCTTGTGATTCTTCAGAAGCCCACAGCATTTTAAGTCCTTGGCAACAGTTTCCATATATTTAGAAGTCCTGGGTTCACAGAACTTATGTAAGCAATAGGGGAAGAACTTTCTATTAAAGATGTCATAACAACATAGTATTTGGAGGAAAATATTTAAGTTCGTAGTTGTAAAAGGCTAATAATAACTTTCCCATCTTTAGAGGAAAATGTCAAATCCTTAGTTCAAAGAAACTGCCCCTCTCATCTATTTCTATTTTTTGAATATTATCCTTTAATATGGTTGCTATGTCATGTCAGTAAAGCTCTTTGACACCAATGATCAGTGTATTCCAATGAAATCTTCATCCCAAGTTTACATATAAAGGCTAAACATGAAGTGGCCCATGACATACCATAGCAATGACTGCCAGCAGACAATGAGCTAGTAACAATTCTTTGAGAATACATCCACAAAACATTAAGAAGCCATGATTTATTCTTCTCTCCATATATAACACCTTATTAAAATCTAGATACTATCTCGTGTCCTAAGATATCAGAATAATCCTACTGAAAAATGAAATCTGATACAACCTCTTGGTAAACCTATGCTGGCTCTCCCTCCTTCTCTACATACTCAAAAAACTAAGCTTTTAATCATTACTATTTATTTTTTTGCCAGGAGCAATAAACTCATCAAGTCTCTAACTTCTAGAATGTTCCTCCCCTCATTGAGCAATCTTAGATAATGAAAGTGTTGCTAGAACATTGTTCAGACTTTCCAAGCACATTAATGACCTCATTTAAGTCAGAAGCTGCATGTCAACAGCCAATGGGCCTCAGCAGCAGGCAAGAGAAATGGGGTCTGGAGCAAGTCATGGCAGAAGCAGAGAACTTTATGCCAGGACTAAAGAAGCGATCACTCAATTCCAGCAGAATCACTGCCATATAAGAGCCTGATATTCCAGTTTTCAGTTTTTCAAGAAACTGAAAATACAAAGCAGTAAATATGAAATCTCTTTTAAGAGTTGGTAATTAAATATCTTTAAAAGATCTCATGCTGGGTCAAAATACATCAGTGGGCAGAATTCTGTACCTAGGAGTCCAATTTTAATCCCTTTGTCTAAGCTAAGCAATCCATTTAGGTGTTTGCTTAAAAGTGGAGGTGGAGGCTGGGGATTTAGCTCTGTGGTGCCGCACCTGCCTCGCAAGTAAAAGGTCCTGAGTTTGATCCCTGCTATGGAGAGAAAAAAAAAAAAGTGGAGGTAGAGCCAGATATGGTGGTGCACCCCTGTAATCCCATCACTAAGGAGGCTGAGACAGGAGGATCACTGTGAGTTCAAGGCCATCCTAGGCTATGTAGTGAGTTCAAGGCCAGTCGGAACTACACAGCAAGACCCTGTCTCAACACCCCGCCCCAAAAGTAGAGGCGGTTCAGAGAAGAGCAAAAATCAAAATTGGGACTTAAATTACCTCTTGAAAATGTTTTTTTAATTCATTCTAAATATTATCTTCCTTGACCTAGAGAACAAAAATGACAGTGATCATAAGATTATCAAAGAGAAAAAAATGTAACATGTACTCTTGTTCTTTACAATAAACCTAACGATGCAAAAAAAAAAAACACCTCAGGTTTTTTTCCTCTGACCCTTTTGTAGTATACTGTAGTTATATATTATTCATCCCTGGACATATGACCTCTTTATCTTTCACATTTTTAAAACTTTGAGGAATTTTTCAAGCCCTGTCCCTCACCCTCCTTTCTGTCCTAAGATACAAATCGTACATGAGCCCTATGTGTTACATCATTCAAATGTCCCTTGCCACACTTCCCATTCTTTTGAGCCATTTTTCCTTTCCAGAATTATAATCTATGGAATCCTGCTTATTGTCAGAAATCTGTTAAATGTTTTCTTCGTGATTCTGATGTATTTACACTTAAGTTTTCCTACTGTTTGCTATTACTTCCTAGCATTTTAAAACATTAATGAAAACTAAAATAAAAACTGTTCTCTAATTTCTCAATTTAAAATATGTAAGCTAGGAAAGTAAAACTACTCATATGATCCTGCAAAGGTAGATACATGTCATTACACATTGTTCAAACCCACAGATGTGCAAGAGTGAACCCTACTATAAAACACTGGCTTTGGGTGATAATGGTATGTCAGTGTGGCTTCACAATTATAATAAATGTTCTCCTCTGCTGTAGGGGCATATGGTCAATGAAAAGTCTACTTTTTGCTCAATTTTACTGTGCACCTAAAATTGCAAAGGAGGGGGAAGGGAGGGGGGAGGGGGGGAGGAGGAAGAGGAGGAGGAGGAGGAGGAGGAGGATATAAAGTTAAATTCCATTAGTAATAAGAAACCCGGAACAAACTTTTAAGTTTCTCATGTAGTTGGTATAAGAAGCTATGAACTCCATGTACTAGAACGAATGATCAAACCGGGCCATAAGAATTTCCTAACCATGCTCACGTGCAAGGCAATCACAACATTCTACTTTGCATTAAAGACAAAACAGACTGGGCAGCCAGGCTTTTAAGTCACTTATATCAAGATTCAGAGGCACCTGTAAGTAGGTGTCCAATTAAAAAATAGTCCTGATTTCTGTTCTCAAAAACCAAGATATGAGCATCAAGATCCTGTTATGCCTACTATAGAAGTCTTGTATGTGAGCATTTATATCCTATGTCTTCTGTCATAGCAGTCTTGCATGCTTTTTAGTTCAGCACAGAGTAATTAATAAAATATTACAGAATGGAAAGCAAAGGTGGGCATTTCTTAAATTTATTGAAGAATTCTTAGTTGGCAGAGGAAAGATCACAGGCTTAAACAACTGTAAGATAAAAGAAAAATTAATTGCAAATTATTACAAAAGTAATTTTTGAAACTTCTTTTTTTTTAAGCCACTACTAAAACAAAAGTTTAGTGCATCCTGAAGTTCCTACTTTGGTAAGCGAACACTTAATTACTGAAGAGCAAAAAAAGTTACTGTAATACGGTATAAGATCTTTATGTAATAACTGTGCACAGCCAAATAAACAGTTATAATTATTCAAAGCTTCTTTTGCTATATATCTGGTAATTAAACAAGAATGTGGATTACTTTTAACACTGCACAAGTAACCAAAGGTAGCAAATTCAGCAATATTAAAACCTGGTATTAAACAGTATTCAAACATTACAACAACAATAACAAATGAGAACTTCTACAACTACAACTCTAAATGAAAGGAATGTACATGGATGATAAAAAAATAAATAAATTAAAGTGACAAGAGTGACTAACACTGTATCTGCATCTTCAGAGCAAGAATACAGTAAATGATTAAATGTTTTGCAAGGTTTTTTCTGAAAATGAAAAAAAATGCATCTCACCTCATAGTACAATTTTTTTAATTCCCACTGATGCTCTTCTCTTATGCAGGTAAAGGTGAACAGGGCTGTAAATGGAAAGTATCTTCCCTAACCCCTGAGTATGGATGCATCATTTTAAATATTCTGTGTAAAGTTTTCTTTGAAAAACAAAATGTAAAGTGATATACTCGTGGGAAATTGATTACATTAACTGTGGAATAATATTAGCTAAATAATTAAGTAGATATCATCAGATTGGAATCTAATGAATGAAAATTAAGCTTTACATTTGGGGAACGTGCACGTCAAATTTACCTATTGTCAAACAGGTAAATTATCTTTCCTTTTGTACACAATGTACTTAAGTAATTAAATTCTCCTACCAGGAATATAAAGCCCTTACTTAAGCAGAATTAAAGATTATGAATTGAGTTAATTCACATAAAATATCTGAAAGGGTAAGTGCAACATTTTTCAAAGTATAAAGGTATCACATATGTTCAGAGTAAATACTCTCAAAGGTTTTATAATGCCACTAAATCATACGCATTCATCCAAGAGACATTGTCATTTTCTTTTGTGATTTATAAATGAATCATTCATTTTGAATAAAGCAGGAAGTATTTTCAAAATCAACATGAATAATGCCCAAAATACAAATGTAATTTAACCTTGGATTAGGAAAAGAACATGAAAGAACTGCCCTATTTTAGACTGAAATAATGTTCTGAAAACCCTTTATCACAGGTTTCATTCACTTTCCATGGATTACATGATGATTTCAAAACTGGTAAACAAAGACTTCACAATTTTAACAATTGCACATCACAATTTTAACAATTTTGAGTAAGACATATTTCATTAGGACCAAAATGTACAGAATGGCAATATTACGATGTTACAATATAAATATGTCAAGCTTGTAATAAGACAAAGCTGTCCTCAACAGAGCTGCTTTCAAGACTGAGCAACCAAACAGATCTACAATGTCTTCGGAAAATCACAAATAGTCTTTAAAGAAAGTTAAATTTAGACTGTATATGAATATGATTAAAAGATACTGTCCAAACATTCTCTCTATATAAGGAAGTCTTATAACTCATATTTCTTTTTACATATACCAATATTTAATATTTTTCTTAATGCCCCTGCACTGAATTGATGCAAATATGGAGTTCCACTATTATTATAATCACTCATGCTAACACCTAATGACTGGTATGTCAGTAGGTAGTGGTTAGATAATGGAACTCTGAACGCAGCTCCAGCTCCAGCAAAATGCAAAAGAAATAAGAATATGTCAAAAACTTTACCTCAAAATGATTATATCATTAACATAAATAAACATAAGCATTTCAAACGCAGAAACTTTTACAAAATATACTGTCATTGTCACTTTAAAAGAAATTCAGAACCCAGTTTTGTTGTTACTCAAACTCATATTTACATTCAAATTACTAAATAATGATTTGATAGTTACTTGTAAAAACGCAATCTGAACTTGATTGATTAATCTACCTTACAACTAACAAGAGCAAACATTCCTGGTCTTAACATTTAAACTCCAGTCCAGTGTGGCCTCATTTCAAATTCTGAAAACCTAAAGGCAGAAACAATTCTGGTGATACATTTCCTTCTTTTCTTTACATCAAAAGATACTTGAAGAAACTTAAAGAAAATTCATGTTTAAGGATCATCCTATACCTGTATCTTAACTTGGGGAAAACCAAAGTCTACAATGTAAATATTTAAGTAGCTTTTGACATTTGCTTCTTAAAAAGCAAACCTGAATCTTTCACTACAAAACATTTTTCTACCATAACTATTAATTCAAACTCATGTAATTACCCTGATTACCTATTCCTTATGTATAGAATAGTCAGTATTTGGAGGGAAAAAATGTAATAGAGTAAAAAAAAAACAAAAACCCAAAGCCCTCACAAAAAGCAATTTATCCTAGATTACAAAAGCCACTACTGGAAAAACTAAAAAGTTGCACATACATACCCACACATATAAAACCAAGACACATCTTGGTCCTTTTATTCATGTCACCTTGCAGTTTCTGAAGACAAAGTAGTAGGAAATGTAGAGCCCAGAAAGATCATGCACATAACTTTACAAAATAATGCAGACAACATAAGGAGTAGGGTCACAACTTTTCTAGAGAAAACTTATGCTTGGTAAGCAGGATTTTTTTTTTTTCCCCAAAAATCCAACAATGAAATACATTAGGTTCCTCTGAATGCATTTCCATATTAACATTATTTTTTAAATTTCACTGTTTTGCAACTTGAATTTTCATTTATAAGTCAAAAACGCTAACTGCATAATCTTTATAGGCATTTTATTTTAAAGCACCTTGTTAATGTTTACAATGGTTTCTAACTAAGAAAAGAGTAGCATAAAACAGAAAACAAAACCATTGGCAAGGTTAAAGTTCTCCTTTACACAGACACATACACACAGACCACTTTCATGCCAAAACAATTGGTGGCATTAGCAAATGTCATTTGATGGAAGGCCTGGGAAACTATCACTTACGGTATTCACAGAAACCTAAAACAATAATGTTTCTACTAAAAACTTATACAGTTTGTAAGGAACCAAAAAGCTGTCAATAGCTGAACTCTTGACATAAAACTAATTTTTAAAAACAGGACAAAAAGTCCAAAAGCCTTCCCAAAAGAAATCAGCCTCAATTTTATTTTTTTGATCTGATGAGTCATTAGTCAAGACACCATTTGTTTGCAAAGGAGCAATTATAACTCTCATCACTGGAACCTCTCCCTAACCACTATTTGGATGCAAAAAGAATGGTGTCAGACAATGTCTCCAGAAGCCTTACGGTAAGACCTTCCCTCCTTCCTTCACATATATGTTACACACACCATATATGCGTACAGAAGAACAGGTAAAGATAGTATTTTAACAGCCATTACAAAAGTGTGAACTATATACACTGTAATGACAGAAAGCACTTAAAAAGCTGTATTTACTTTTCTCCCAAATCACCTAAAATGTTCATATTTACCATTCATATTTATCCTAAACATATTTATGTTTCTTCCCCTTTCAAAACAAATAATAAAATGTACTGGTTTGGGGTTTGTCTTATGCATTTTCCAAGAGCCAATCAAACAGTGACTTGCATCTCTCCTCACTGGAAGCTTTTTCCACCATTTCATAGTATTTAAGCACAGCCTGCAGGAGGTCTCCTACTTTCCATCCTTTTTCTTGTAACCGTTTTGAAAGCTAAGAAAAACAAAATATGTCAAACATTAACAGGAAACAATTTTCTGACAATAAAATTTTTATTTTTATCATTAGATAAAACTCAGAATCTTGTTGTTCACAACTAAATATCACTTCTCAGTTATAACAAGGTCTTATCCCCTAAACCACCACCCCCTTTACCCCAATGAAACATTTTCCTTTCCTGCTCTTTATAACCACATGTTCTCCACAGAATGACACTTTGTGATTTCTGGAGACTGCTCCACAAACCTCACCCACTGGCAGTCTACGTGGGAGTGCAGAGGCTAAATTTCTACAGGAAATTCTTCACCTAATTAAATACATCTGCCACACCCTCAATTAGGAACATAAAATAATAAAGACAATGTCAAGCTTAATAAAAGGATGTGGACTTTACTCCCACAACATATAGTGTGGTTTTTTATCTGGAATAGACTCTCTATCCTCAATGGAAACTTGGCTTTCTAAGTTAAGAAATTTTAATGTTTCAACAACAAAACAAAAACAAGTAAAAGAGTAAATAAATATAGGTTTAAATAAACTCTACCATGGCCAACTAGAACATGACTTCACTCACTTTTTTGCCTACTTAGCTCTGTGAAAGTTCTTAAATTTTGAAAGATCTGTAAAGCGACATTCTAAGAAACTTTTAATTTTCTGTATTATAAATATTAATGTTTTTAAAAACAGCTTTCTTGAGATATAATTCACATGTAATGATTTTTAGCATATTCACCAAGTTGAATGCAACCATCATCACAAGTGATATTAGAATACTTTCTTTTATCACACCAAAGAGAAGTCCTATCCATCAGAAATCAAATCCTTTTCTCTGCGGCACTCCTCAACCTTAGGCAACCACTCGCCTTTTGGTCTCTGTAGATCTGCCTATTTTGGACAGTCCACATAGATGGAATCATAACATTCATGTGTGGTCTTTTGTGACCATCTTTTGCTTAGCTAATTATTTCAGGGTTCCACCATGGGTTAGTACATTTCAGTACAGTGGTACCTCGGTTCATAAACTTAATACTTTCCACAATTCTGGTTGCAAATCAAATTGGACAAGAACCAAATCAAATTCAATGGTTAGGTTCAATGTTGACCTTATGGGGAGATCTGATTATGAATGATGTTGCTGACCACATTTGTGCACCAGCTTCTGTGTGTGGACACACCTTCATTTCTCTTGGGTATATCAAGCAGTAGAAATGCTGGGTATCAAGATAATACCATACCGTACTTTTTGAAGAACTATCAGGTTGTTTTCCAAAGCAACTGCACTGTTTTAGATTCTCACCCCCAACGATAATAGATCCAATTTCTCCACATCCTTGTTAGCACTACCTTTCTGATTAAAGTTATCCTAGTGGGTGTGAAACTCAGTGGTTTTGATTTGCATATCTCTCATGACTAATAAGGTTGAACATCTTTTCACATATTTATTTGCCATCTGTTTTCTTTGGAAGATATATAACAATGATTCAGATTCTTTCCCCATTTTTTCATCAGATTTTTTGCATTTTTATTATTAAGTTGTAAGAGTTCTTTATATGTGTTAGGTATAAGATCCTTATCAGATATACAATTTGCAAATATTTTCTTCCACTCTGAGGGCTGTCTTTTCACTTTGTTGATAGTGTCCTTTGGAGCACAAAAGTTCTTAATTTTGATATATTTTGGTTTTTTTCATTTATGTAGGTATACTTTTAAACTTTCTGGTTTCTATACAATTATCTCTCATTTTATACTTATGATTACGGTAATAATGTTTGTTTAATCTATTTAATAGTGGAACTATCAAAATTAATAGTTTATTATCCAGAAAGACAAAAAATAAGTTATTTCGATTATCTTCATTATCACTAAAGATATACTGCACCTGCCTATTAGCTGTTTCATAGTTTCCCAGCAGCCCTGTGGGGTTCTAGCCAGACATGGGCAACATTATTTAAAATAAACAATAAACATAATGAGGCACTGCCATCCACATTTAAGCATCCCACCTCACCCAATCATCAGGCAAAGGTCCCTGGGCTGGGTTACATGGTGACAACCACCATCACTCTCAGCTCCACAGAAGGCCTTCCTTGGGCCTCAGTCTACCCAAAACGAAATGACTCTGGAAAATGTTTGCCTTCCTAAGGTGAGTTCTAACAATTCCCCTACTCATTCTTTCCCCTTGATAATTCATTTCCCAAGCACCCCTTTCTGTCCTATTTTCTCTTTCTACTTCAAACCTAAACATATTTAAACTGAAGAAAGTCCAGTTTAAAATAAAAATGACAAAATTTTTTTTAAATTACATAATCTCTTCTCACTTACTTCCTTTTTTTTTTTTTTTTTTTTGGTACCAGGGATCGAATTCGGGTCCTTGCACTTGCAAGGCAGGCGACGGAACCACTGAGCTAAATCGCCGGCCCCTCACTTACTTCTTTCAACAACATCTTCATAAATTCTGGACCAGAAAATGAGAGTAACTTCAATGTTCCTTTTTTATTACTGAGCAATGTGCATTTGTATATTCACTGGACTACTTTATACCCTATCATGAGATTAAAGTTTTCATAAGGACAATTATGTGGGTGAAAACTCTTAAGACTGTAAACTGACTTGACTAACAAGGTGTTTGGCACACATTAAGTGCTCAGTAAAAATATCTTGTTTAAACTTTTAGTTGGCTTTTGATTATGGCAGCTTCTCACAGGTGTGAAGCTGGATTATCAAAGACCCATATTAATTATTAAGTACAATTATGAATCAACTTAATAGAGAATAACTTGATCTTTTCATAAGAACATATAAAATGTGTTAATGACATCTCTGGGAACTAAGTGTATGCCAAGCATTAGACTAAACATTTTGGTTTTTACAGTATTATATTTGATCTTCACAAATCCTGTAGATTCTATACTCGTATTTCAATAATGTAACTAAAGAAACTGAGATCCAGGCTGATTAACTTGCCCAAGGTTGTACTGCTGGGGGATGGCAGAGCTGACATCAGAACCCAAACTGTTGGACTCCAGAGACTAACCATTTAACCATTCTGTTTTCAACAGGCATCTTAGGAGACCAACAATGCAACAACAACATTACACACTGTTAAAGGACCCCCTCGTAACCACTCTGTCGGGCAGGTACTTACTAGTATGAATTCCTTCTTTGCTGAGTCATGAAAATAAAGTTCTGTAACTTCAGCTTCAGAAGAAATGAGCCACTGAAGGATAATCCTTAACTGGGGATCTACTGTGCATGGCTCCATGTCAATATTCATAATCAGCAAAGTCTTTTCATCTTGCTCCAAACCTAACAAATTTAAACAATATGGAATGAAATTCATCGATTCAACTCTTAATATTCTGATTTCCAAGTACATATGTACATAAATTTTTCATGCCTCAAGATTCCAATGAATGTTTTCCTTAACATACCATAACATTAACGAAAACATTCCTTCAAGGGGAAAAGAAAGCTAAAACAAGGAATAATTTTGATTATTTCTTGATAGAAAAAATGTAAAATACTATTTTAAGGTACTGAATTCAAGTAGTAGTAATACCATAATTTGTGTCAAATTAGGACCCACAGGGAAAAGGAGAGAAAACTATAAAACCATCATTGATATCAAAATAAAAATGAAACATACAAATATATACTTCAAATAAAGAAAAGTGGCAAACACTTGTATAGCATGTATTATATCCTAAGTATTGTCCTAGGCTTTTTATATACACAAATTCCTTTAACCCTCACAAGCACTCTATGAGCTATGAAGCATTATCATCTTTATTTTATAGGTAAGGTTGTCAGGCAGAAACAAACGAGGAGTCTTACAATGGGATTTGACTAAGACAAGCTATAAACACAGTATGGCTCCCTGCTCTTAATCATTTCATTCTTCAAGCAAAACAGGAAAAATACATAACTGCTTAACATATCCCAAAAGCCAAATCAGGGAATTTTCTATATAACCCTAATATAAAAAAAGATGCTGTTTTTTCTGTAAATCCAGACCAATCTATCTTCTAATTTAAATTTTAATTGACTGTTACTTTCTACATAATGAGAGATGGCTATAGTCTCAACAGCTGAGTAATGTCACATATGCATATAATTAGCCTCCGATTTCTCCCTACTCAGAAAAGAAATTCTGGACAGCCTGCCTAATGTCAAAAGTGAAATATTTTAAATGAATTTTTTATTTGCATTAACCTGTATCTTCTTTTCTCTTAATCATTCCTTAGCAAAGTAAGTTAAGTAACAATTATTAGTTCATTAGAGAAATACTTATCACATGCATTGATACCATGGTAGTATCTGAAGTAGCTTTGCTCACAGATGTTACTTGGGAAAAAGTATAAAACTTTTAGATAAAGTTAAAAATTTCTTAGTGAACACAAAAAAGAAAGTAAACATTACCTAGTTTGTCACTAACTCTAAAAATACTGCCCTAACCTGACTCTATATTTGGTAAGAAAAACAGCTTTAGGAGATTTATATGAAGAATGTTTACTTACAGAGAGTCCTAAGAGACAAGATTGTATCTTAAGTCTAAAGATTTTAGGTTGAAAATTGATACATGACTTCCATAAATAAGGAAGTTCAAGTGGCTAATAAAACTGACTAGAAACTCAGGTGTTATAAAGTACTTTTCAAGAAATTCTTTTCAGGGCTGGGGATTTAGCTCAGTGGTGCCATGTCTGCCTCACAAGTGCAAGGTCCTGAGTTTGATCCCCAGCACCAAAAAAAAAAATTCTTTTCAGTATTTTCTCAGTTTGCCTACTTCTGAAAAACCTCTGAAGAACCACCAAAATCTTCACTGGTTCCAAACCAAGTATCTCCAACAGTGTAAATTTTTTTTATTTACATGTGCTACTTTATAGATGTTGCTAGCATTTTCATAATTAAGAAAAAATAAAATACTAGGGAAAAATTCAATACTCATCTGAATATAGTTACAACTCAGTTTCAGTGTGAAAAGCTACTAGACCCAATCAGATATTCTAATACATAAATTAAAGATTACAAACCATGGTCCAAAACTGACCAATGATATCTAGTTGTGACCTATTTAGAACTATGTTCATTAAAGGAAATCTTGACTATTTTCTTTGAATAAGTGTATGCATGATTTTAGGTTGGAATTGAAGGAGGGAAGACTGTGGAAGGATTTAGAAATACCTTTTCGTTTTTACTTACTGATTTGTGTAAGTGTGACAACATGAAATACTAACTTTAGAAGTTAACAGTTTGGAAGGAAAATATTATATGAGAGTAATATGCCATAATTACAATAAATTATATCTTAGAACATGACTGAAGATTTTTAGACTTCATATTTTAAAAAGATGATTGTGTAAAGAATTATAAATCTCTCAAGTAATTGAATAATTCTTTTAAAATATTTTAGTCTTTATACTAATAAGCCCCTCACTTGTGTGGCAATAAAGTAATACAAACTGCTCAACAAAGGACCTAAAACTGGTCAAAACTACAACGAGAATACTCTGATTTGTAAGTTTTACACAAAAAATGTAGGGGCTATTTGACGAAGATGCACAAATACAAACCATAAAGATTGTTCTTGAGAACCTAAAAACAAAGAAACACTATGAAAAACAAACTGTCATTTACCTTCTACGTCATCCTGATGCTCTTCATCTTTATCATCCAGTTCATCACTTTTTGAAGAAAATGGCAGAAGCAGTTTTTAAAAAACAAAAGAGCTTAATTAATAATGGTATTAAAACTACTTCTTAAAAAATGTAGTTAAGGAATGAATGTTACAATGTGACATGACATTTAGAAAAGGGAGAAATGACAATAAGAAGGAAGCTTTGCTTCTCACATCATTTCATGTTAAAGCTGCATTTCAAATGATAGTGAGTTACCAGTCACCAATAGTCCTACCTTACTATATTTAAAGCCAAGTAATTTATGAAATTCAATTTCAAATAATTTAAAGCTAAAATATTCTATTTTGGCTTTAGATAATATAGCATTTGAATATCAGAAAATGTCATGAATAATGAAATATTAATGTTTCTGTTTATGCCATTTACATATTTTTAACACAGTTAAAAACATTTTTCTATACTTTTCTTGTATGTGAATAAAACTATATAAGAAACAAAATAAAACAAAAAAACAACAGAAATCTTGTAGGAAGCAAGCTCTTTTAATGAAATAATAATTGGTAGAATGAAAATAGCAAGCAGAGCAATCCATGCATAACAGTCACACATTTTGCAATTAGATGTCAGTAGTATCTTAGCATAGTTGAATTTTTTTCATGAGATGTAAATTTAACAAGCAAAATCATGTCAAAATACAGGAGAAAAGCAAGTTGATACATATTGGCACTGTGACCCAATTCTCTTTAAGAATATGACATCATGCATTAGTGGTGAAAGACTCATCAGCTTTTAACCTTCCAGGCTGGACCAACCTGTCTGATGTTGGAAAGGATAAATTGTCCTCATACAAATCTCCTTCTAAACCAAGACTGCTCCAGCTACTGCTGTTACCATTACTGCTGGAGGAAAAAAAGAACAGAGCTGAACTAGAAAATGAATAATAAAAACCACCTTTGTTTTCCTGGGAACAGCTTCTGTCCTTGGTAACTGCAAATCCTGAAGCTGCCACAAGAGTGGAGCATCCAATGAAGGGGATGAGATCATCACTGATACTCTAAAAGAGTACTTGTTCCGGTCAGAGGTTGAGGAATTTTTTCCTCTGTCCTCAATATATCATGAAAATTATCCTAAACTTACATTTATTTTGCAGATTAAGAAAACAATGACTTTTAGGACACAAAATGAAATTTCTGATGAAATTAATGTCTTTTGGCAAATTTTAGGATATAACTTGTGAAAAAGGCTTCATTTTGGATAAAATTTTAAAAGGAAAAAATACAGTTTAAAACTCTCTCAGGCTTTCAAGTACTGCAAAACAGGGATAGGCTTGGATAAGGAGTGTGGGGGAGATAACAATGAGTAAACCAAAACAGTCTCAAATCTTGCTTTTGATTTTTAAAATACTCCATTATGCCAATTACCTTTATTTCATAAATTATGTATAATTTGGTAGGTGCCAAATAGCATGCATTCTCTTCAGAATAAAACTGGAATAACTAAGGCTTACTTAAGCATTACACTGGTCTTGTTGGTGAGTCACTAATGCCACAAACAGACAACTTCTTACATTACCTAACCAAAGGAAGAAAGCAACTATATTCTGTAACTGTAGCAAAGCAATTTTTTAAAAAGCAGCCCTGTTCAGAAACAAATTCAATTTTTCAGAGTAAAACTTTCAACATGCAATTTTTTTAAGATCCTAATAATTCTTAATTATTAAAATAATTAGTAAGCCATTAGTTTGCAGTGATAAGCAGCTGTATTTCTCGGTATCGAGCTAGGTAATTACAAAAATTAATACACAAACTAAAATTTTGATTCTAAAAAATGAATTAAAATCATTTCATGTGCACCAATAAATGTTGACAAGGTTACAAAAATAGGATAACTAAAGTTCTAAATAGTTTCCAAGAAATCTCAAATAATTTACATATCCATATTCACTTTAACACTATTAAACTGCCACAAACGATAATGTATTAGAGAATAAAACTGAAATTTTTTAACATAAGAGTAACCAAAAATAGCTCAATTTAAAACAATCTGAGTTTTATCCATGCAGTCTGTTGTCACACAACCAAAAATGAAAAAAATATAGAACTATAGAATGGTAAGACAGCTATCAGCCAAAGAGAAATACAAAAATAATGATCTCAAACACTGTAGTTACATCTATTAATAAATTAGTTATCTAAACAAAAATCCCAAGTTGAAATCTTTTTTTTTTTTTTTTTGGTACTGGGGATCGAACTCAGGTCCTCGCGCTTATGCAGCAGGCGGCAAAACCACTGAGCTAAATCCCTGGCTAAAGTTGAAATCTTACCTATATCCTAATAATAATAGTCCTTTATTAACAACAAAAACCCATCACCTAAGTATTAGATGAAGCACAAAAACACCTAAACAATATACAGGCTAAAACTTCAAATTTCCTCCTAACCTCATCTCCTCTTCCCTTTTGTACCTAAAAATGGGTCAGATTTAAAGTCAGTTACTTATAAAATACTACTTCCAACTAGAGTGACCATGTAATTTTTCATCTAACCAGGATACTTTTGAAAATGAAAAGAAGTCACAACTAATAATTACACCAGAGTAGTACAAGTAAACTAGCATTACCCTGAATAAACTGCAAGATATGATCACCTTGTATTAATCCAACATTTTAAAAAAATCTTAATTTCTTGAATATAAACTTCCTATTTCATTTTTGAAACACTGTTCTGCTGCCATCATTTTCTTTTATATTTTTCATATTCTTTATGTCTAAAATAGGCATAGTTCTATCTTGAAACTAGTGGTAGTCAAGTACTAAAATTCTTTATTTTGGCTTTTAGCCATATGAAGATTACTATCAATTGTGACATAACTCACAAGGATTATCTCAAGAATTCTATAAATCCAGCCCCAGCTCTTACTTAATATAATACATAACTTCTTTAGAGACTCATAAACCACTTGAAATATTTAAGAAATTAACAAACAGATCATTCTCTTTCTGATCAAATAATTACACAATCCTGTGAAAATCTGAAATCCTTTTTTTTTAATTGTCACCCTCTACTTAAATTTCTTAGAGTGAAAGTACAAGGTATTATCTCCCATCTAGATCTCTATACCAGAAAGGAACAGTACCTGTGGAAAATGTCACCAAAAGATATAACATGTAAAACAATCTATTTTAACTGTGCTCTCCAAAGCATCTACACTGAAGTTATCTAAAGTGGAATGTCAGGACCCTCCACTGACTTGCTGAATCAATCTCTGGAGGTAAGGTCCTGGAAACCATCTGTTCAACAACCACACCACCAACCTAGGATGAACCCACTGTCTTGTTCTTTGTGCCTGAACCTTAATCCACACAGCAGTACTGTTCCTATTAAGACTACGGTCAGTTGAAACCAGTATTTTTCTGACAAGATGCTATCAAGCTAGCTTTGCAACCTAAATGCATTTACTCATATTAAGTATAATTATTTTAGCCTCAGCTTGATTTGGTCTTGGTTTCGTTAATGGGATTATTTTTCAACTTTGTTTTTGTGTTATCTACAAATAAATATTCCACAATTAAAAAGTGCTGAGACAGGGCTGGGGGTTTAGCTGAGTGGTTTCAGCACCTGCCTCGCAAGTGCAAGGACCTGAGTTCGATCCCCGGTACCAAAAGGGAAAAAAAAAATGCTGAGTCAGGATGAAAGATGGAGCCTGATAGACTGCTCCCTTATTCTCATCCAATTAGCTAATCCTGCAACTGGCTACAAGTCCTTTTAGGACCATGGGCCTATACTACAGTTCTCCTATTTTAATACCAGGATTTCCTAAGCAACAGTGTCACCTCTCATTGAAATCCCAGAAGCATATGCTTCTCAAAGATGAGAGAAAAAATTAAATGTTAATATTCTATTCTACATGAAATTATGGAAAAGAGTCAAATTATAATCTATGACACTACCCCACTTGCTTCTACCATTTAAAGACTATCTTTTTGGATCCAGATTGTAAAAAATATTAGTGTTAAGCTAAGCATTATAACAAACTATGACAAAATAAATACTTTATAAAAGTATAATACTGGTTAATCCAAGCATCAAGCAAATATTCTGACGATAAAACATTCTAACAGAAGGCCATTTCCTTTCCTTATGCGACCTCTTCCAACAGTCTTCTTCCCTCTCCCTGGTAAGCCAACTTCAAGGGCTCAGTTCAATGGAAACCTCACAGGATCCTTTCCACTTACAATTCAAACCAGAAGTACGCTGAGAGCTCCTTAACCTCCCTTGATTCAGCTATGGATGATATCTACTATTTCTAATTATCAGTTGAAGTGGATAAAAATTTTATGGGAATTTATAGGTCAGTCATGAATGACTTTAGTTTGTGAGAGGAAACAAACACTATCATAATCAATATATTATCTTAAAAATATTATTATGAATAAAGTTAACTAAGAAAGATTACATATGAGGGAAATGTCTTCTGGTATAAAAATCATATTTTTACAATAAATTTGACTTACGTATTTTTAAATCTTTCAAGTACAAATAAATACTCCAGTTTATTTTCTTTCTAACAGCAGTACAAGGGCCCTTCCTTCCCCTACAAAAAATACTGTTTTGACTATTATCAAGAAGAAACATATGGGTATTTTGATGCCTATTATAGATACCTGTCCTTTTTCCTATCCTCTAATGAAAACAACAACAAAAACCCTCTGTAAAGTTTCTTAAAAAAAAAAAACTGAAAAGTTTAGGAAAGGCTTCAAAGATAAAAAACCCAAAAATCTATAATATTTCCCAAATTGATTATTGGTACACCCAAAGAAAATTAGCTCAGCTAACTACTGTATTAAATAACTATCCAAAATCATTAAAAATGCAGCATTGTGAATAAAATACACTTTGATTTCCAAATTTAGGATTTTTAATTAATACGCAGTGTAAATTTATAGCTTACTTCTGAGGTCTGAAGACGTGAACTACACAATTATACACACAACTGTAGTTACCTTTCACTTAGATGATGAAAACTGCTGCTTTCATCTTGGTGTTCATCCTCAAAACTTAAATTGGACCAGCTACCAATGCTGTCTTCACCAATACTGAGATTCATCTGCTGGCTACCAAGTGACTCAGTTGACTGGGCATCTTCTATTTCTTTTGAACTAAGAAAAGGAAAAAAAAAAAAAAAAACCAATAAATCACACTGGAACCATCATAGATTCTGAGTTATTTGACTACTGAGTTAATGATAAAGATGATAAAACAAAAATTCTATTCAGAGTTAGATCAGTGGTCTCTGAAACACTTTATTGTATCTGCTAATAATCAGTCTTTATAGGAGACCATATTAATTTCAAAGCTCACTGAGGTACCTAATAGTCTACTATAGGCCAATCCCTACTGCATCATTTATTAAATTCTATTTAAAACAGTTCATACTTTCAACTGAGACACTATATGTAACTACTGTTCCAAAGTTTATCATCTGCTTTGTAAAACAACACTTTTATTTGTAGTAAAGGAGCTCTTTCTGGCTTTAAGAACAAAAACAACAAAAAAGTAGTTCAGGAATTCTAGCAGTGTCAGTCAGGCCTATATTCAAACTAGCCAAATCTCTTCAGGAGTCTGAGCATGGATCATAACCCTTTCACTCTTTTTCTAATGACGAGATATTATATTTTTATTCCTTTATCACAGAAAAGTGCATTCATTGCTCAACTACTGTAAATTCTTTTTACATATTATTTTCAACACAATAGTTTAATGTTTTTAAAATGTAAGCCTTCTGACCAAAACCTTCCAATGGCTTCTCACCAATTAGAATTACAACCCAATTTCTTAAAACACACTTTCTGGTCCCGATTCATAATGTCTACTTTATCACCTAACATTTTCCCTGGCTGGCTCCCCTTCAGCAGTATAATTCTCTCTGTTTGACAGATATGCACAATCCCTTCGCCTGGAGTCTGCATCTCTCTGATTCCTATACGTCCATCTATGGCTTTTGGCTTAAACATGACTTTGCCAGTATTGCCTACACTGCTACCTATTCAAACCCACAAACTGGTCATACTCCACCGTCACTAGCATTCTCTAAATCCTTTACTTGTTTTATTTTTCCCCTGAGCCCTTACCCTTAAGCAACATACGATTCATTTTATTTAGCTAGTGTCTTGTCTTATTCCACTTTAACATAAGCTCCAAGAGAACATAGATTTTTGCTTGTTTTCTTTTCATCTATGTTCCCAGTGCCTAGAATAGCCCCTGAAACTGTCTTTCTTTTACAGGCACTTCTCATTTTGTACTTAAGGTATACCAACATGAACTATATAAGGCAGTCTGAGGGTGGGCACGTAATGTATAGTGCTGAACAACACTTTGTCCTTTTTGAACACTTTTCCTCATGTGCCACATTATAAAGAAAATGACCAACGGGATGAGGTCCAGACAAGTTTTTAATGACCTCTAGTTGATTTTGGAAAGAACAGCTTAGAATATAGTCTAGATCTGTGGTGGTAAACCTATGGCATGCATGTTGTTTTTAAGATAAAAGATGTTAATGCATGAATTGTTTTTTTAAAACTAAAACCCCAGTTTTCAGGTTTAATTGCAGTGTTGGCACTTTAGAATAAATAAGTGGGTTCTGGGTTGCAGTTTGGGCAGTCATCTCTAAAAGGTTTGCCATCACTGGACTAGATGTTGTGTTCTTCTAAAAAAAACTATCAGGCCAGGGATTTAGCTCAGCGGCACCGCACCTGCCTTGCAAGCGCAGGGTCCTGAGTTTGATCCCCAGTCCAAAAAAAAAAAAAAAAAAAAAAAATATATATATATATATAGTTTTCCATTTGACATTCAGTTACAACTCTGATGAGTATTACAACTTTGTGATGCATTTATGGTTAGTTTCATGAACCAAACATCTATGAGAAAAGGGACATTAGTGAAATAATCCAAATAACTTAGAGAATAATCCATTTTCACTTCAGAAATAGAAAATGTAAAACAGTAAACTATACATACCAAAGTCAACTCTTTTTTTTTTTGGTACCAGGGATCAAACTTGGGTTGGGACCTTACACTTGTGAGGCAGGTGGCAGAACCACTGAGCTAAATCCCCGGCCAATCAACTCTTTATATGTCAACTTCACTGGATTAAAAAACACCTAGCAGATTAGTAAAGTACACTTTTGGGTATCTTGGTAAACAATGGAGGCATGGCTTTGAGTACTAAATATGGAACCTGACTCCTTCCTCTCAGGCACTACCCCTCTGCTCTGCTTCCTGGTCGCCATGAAATGAGCAATTCTGCTCCACCGTGGTCTTCCACAATGATGTCTCTATCTTAGAGTTAGATGACCTTGCACTGAGTTTTCTGAGATTGAGAGTCCAATTAAACCTGTCTTCCTTTAAATTGTGCATGCTGCATCTAGCAATAGGAAAGCTGACTAACACAAGCATTTACAACACTAACACAATTATTAAGAAAAGAGAAGAAGCCAAGTGTGGTGGCATATGCCTGTAATTCAGTACCTCAGGAGGCTGAGGATTATGAGTTTGAGACCAGCCTAGGCAACTTAATGAGACCCTATCTCAAAATAAAATAAGGGCCGGGAATGTAGCTAAGTGGTAGAGTGCTTGCATAGCACTCAAGGCCTGAGTTCTATCCCTAGCACTGTGGGGAAAAAAAGAAGGGAAAGAAACAAGAAAAGAACTATAAGGCAGTATTCTTTGTAAATACCAGCCTGGAAAAAAGCTGGCTTACCACAAGATCTCTAAGGGTAACTACTACCCAGAGGCTCTAAGAAGGAAAAGTGAACATACTGAGGAATAAACAGCAAAGGTATTGGCTGTATTTGCTAGGTCCTGGAAATGATGTCTTACAAATTTCAGAGTTTTCCTCCCATGATGTTCGGAATGGGGTTGGAGGTAAAATAGCCTGAGGTTACTGTATGAAGAAAGTTAATTCAATTTTTTTTTTTTAAAAAAGGGTCTAGCTTACTACCACTTATTCATTTTTAATAGTTATTAGTCACACACTACAACATAAGTAGTTGTGAACAAAAAAATAAATCGTGGGTCTAAGATAGATATTCATAAACTTTCTTTATAAAGGGTCAGATAGTAAATACTAAGGTGTTGCCAGCAATATGTACTCTCTGTTCCAACTATTCACCTCTGTCATCATAGCACAAAAACAGCCACACAAAATATGTAAATGAATGAGCATTGGTTGTATTCCAATAAATTTTATGAAGATAGAAGTTTGAATTTCATATGTGACAAATGTAATTTGATTCTTCAACCATTAAAAAAGTATAAAAAATATTCTGAGCTTGCAGGCCATATAAAATCAAGGGGTTGGGCCGGGGATTTAGCTCAGTGGCACCACACCTGCCTTGCAAGCACAAAGTCCTGTGTTCGATCCCCGGTACCAAAAAAAAAACAATGGGTATGCCATAAATGAGCCCACAGATCATAGCTTTCAGCCTCTGACCTAGAGGAAGAGCAGCCTCCTGATTAAGTCAAACACAGAGCACCTCTCACCCTAAGAGGATTCTAAGTAACAACTGAATTCAAGAAATCTGGACAAATGACATCTCTCTATTTAAGACTGACTTTTTTTAAAAAGTGGCAGGCTTTGTCATAGTCTTGACTGCAGCTGAGTACTCAAAAATCTGAGACATCATGTGATTCAATTAAGATCCACCTCAACTCAAAGCATTTTCTCTTTCCATTGGGACTTATAGATACAATCCTAGACTAATAACATGGATTGGCCCTGATATTTTCTCAGATAGAAAAAAGATTAAAAATGAAAATATTAACTAAGCTATCAGACTCACAGTGCAAAAGAAACAGGAACTGAAGAACAAGACCCTGTGGGACAAAGAGAGGTGGTGGCACTGATGAAAGTACAGGAGAATATTTGTTTTCTTCCTCAGAGCAACATGATTATACCAAGCTCTATGTAAGAAAACTTACCTTTGTAAACAGGAAAAAGAAAATTTTAAAAATTTATAATCTTAGGTAAATTAATAATAGCCTATATTGCTGTATAAAATTCTCCAGCTGGGGCCAGGGATGTAGCTCAGCAGCACAGGATCTGCCTGGCAGGCATGAGGTTCTGAGTTTGACCCCCAATACAAAAAAAAAAAAAATTCTCCAGCTGTTAGCCAGGCATGGTGATGCATGCTGGTAATTCTAGCACTCTGGGAGGCTGAGGTAAGAGGATCATAAATTAAGCCTAGTTAGGGCATCTTAGTGAGACCCTGTCTCAAAATAAAAAATTAGACAAGGGCTGGAGAATGTAGCTTAGTGCAAAGGCCCTGGGTTCAATCCCCAGTATTTAATAAAAATATCCATAGCTCTTTCTGTAATTCAACTTTACCTACTTTATAACTCTGTGAACTTGGACAAGATGATTATCTTCTATAATCTTCATCTAATGGTCCTAAAAATACACAATTCCTTTCCTCAAAAGATATTGGGAGACAAAACATATGAAAATCACATGTAGGATATGAAATCATGGACAAATGCAGTAGGAAAATGTTAAGTGTTAAAAAAAATCATACATTTGTGAACAGGACTTAAGACTTATATGAGCAAGTTTTCATTTTATCATGACACCCCCCCCAAAAAAAATTTTTTGAAACTAACCTGCTGACAGTATGTCCAACATTCGTCATGGCTGATGTCATTATTTCTGTGGTTAGGCTTTCAGCAAAACTAATGCCATCTTGTCCAATTCCACTATCAGCTGCCAAACTGGTATTGCTCAGCTCTCTCTCTGCTCTTTCAATAGCTTCAGCAACTATCTTCTCAGCAAGTAATGATTTTTTGTCAAGATTTACATGAATTTGAGGGACATCAAGATGAAAAATTCTAGATTTCTGATAGTTGTTAAACTTTGAATTTGTAACTAGCTTACTACTAACACGTGAATCCTGTCTGAAAAAGTGTGGAGATGAATTTCTAGTACAATCATGGAGTTCATTAAGGTCACAGTATCTGCAATTCTGACTTATAAGAGGTGACAACTTTTCTGCATAAGTGATCCTATCTACTGATTTTGTGGTCTCAGATGCTTGGAAAACTTTGGATCCTAGACCTAACTCTAAAGTATCATCCACTACTTTTTTAGCATACTGTTCTAGAGCTTGAACAATATTCTCTCCACAAGCCTGTCCATTTAAGCTGCCTGTACTGTGGTGAAATCCTTGATTTTGTGAGGAAGGCTGAGGAGGCTTAGAAAATTCTGGTTCTGTAAGACATTCAGTATCTTCAACATATCCAGATTTTTCAAAAAGGCAGGAATCTGTTAAGGATTTTAGCAAGTCAACTTTAGGTGCCGTCAGCTCTTTTTTAACATCTCTTGTTATGCAGTGAGCAAGAGAGGCTGAAAAACTATACAGGTGAGAGTCCTCATTTCTACATGTATCTCTTGTCCTTTCACACATTTGATTCTGACAAAGGTGACCTCCATTTCTTTTTCTTTTACTTTTACCTACTTCTCGGTGGTGTCCTTTGTGCGAGAACATGAACAGTTCACTATTTATTTTCACTTGTGCACTTTGCACAGGGAACATTTTTGAGTTGCACTTCATTTTGGCTGTCTTAGCTGCTTCTTGTAAACCTGACTTAACAGACCGATAAGCAAGTCTACTGGCATACTGATCCAGTATTAACTCACTGTTACCACCTTCCTGTTTTAATATTTGAATAACATGACCTGCATATTCATCTGTCACACTTTCACAGCTGGGATACTTGTATGTCAGACCTGACACAGAAGAACTTGGTGGTAATGAAAGAATAAATGGATCCACTTCTCTTGGGTATGCTACAACCTCCATATCCAACTTCTCTTCTGATCTATAATCTTGGTCCCCATCAATGAAACAAAGATTCTTTTGTCTGTGAAGTACAGAACTTCTAGCTTTTGCTATTTTCTCAGCTTCTGTAATGATTTCTGCAGCCATATCACCTGCAAAAATGCATGTCTGAAAATTTTCATCAGAATGACTTAAAAAACTAGGCAATACTCTTCCCTGACTTTGCACACTGAAGTAAGGTTTTTGAACCTCAGGTTCTTGGGTTATTTTATGATCTAAATGAGAAGCTGCCATTTCAGTTGCAAAAGAAATTATATGTGTAGCTAATGCTTCTGCAAACTGCAGTTTCTTCCCTGAGTGCTCTGACTTCACATTCATTTCCGGATGTTCTTCACCTTCACTACTTTCAACTTCTTCTGAAAGAGACCGCATGAGTTTCAACATGAACTCTTCTTTTTCTATAGTAGTGTGTTCACTTTCAGACAAACTACCAATAGATGAGTTGTGAGGTGTAGAAGGTGGTGTAGCAGGTGCAAATTCTTTGGCTAATTCCCCTTTGAGCTTTTTTGTTAACTTCTTGATATCCCATTCAGAACTAGCCTGGGATGGAACAAGAGGAGTTGACGGAGGAGTATCAGGTATTATATTTCTGTCTCTGATTTTCTGTTTATCCTCCACATGCAAACCATCTACACAGGTAAGCACTGTAGATGAGAAAGTATGTGAGTGACGGAAAGGGCTCTCCTGTCCAAAAGACAAGGGCTCAAGTGCTGTATCATTCAAATGATGCTTTTTCACTGGTTTATCCTTAGCCAGTTCCTTCAGATCAGGTTTCTGACTTGCCATCATTGGACAAGATGGTAGTGTCTCTAAAGAAATTCCATGAACCATCGAATCTTTACATTCAGGAACACAATCCTTTCTCATGGAAAGTGAACAGCAAGGTAAGTGATCTTGGGCATCAAGAAATTTAGGGACCTTTTCTGAAGTCAACTGTGATTCCTCTCCAGCAACAGGCAAGTCTTCCTTAGGTACAGTATTTGTATCTGTAGTTGAGATCATTGATTTGCTTGTATCTATGGAATCTTTAATAACAGATTTAGATAACAGTTCAGCAAACATGTCCTTATTGCTACTTTCCCCCTGTTGTGGTGCTGCTTGATGAGAGAAAGGAGAGGTGTGTCCTTTTATTGTTTTAGTTAAATAATCTGTATTTTCATCAGCTGTTTTTGTAACACTGAATGGTGTCATTGACTCTAAAGTTTCATTTACTATTGTATGCACCACTGCTGCAGAAAAGTTGCTAATAATCACAGGATCACTTGTTAATTTTGAAGAACTTTGAATTTCAATATCATTACTAGTTGGTTTACAATCATTCTGCCTTACCAGATTGTGTTCTGAAGGTAAACAAATGTTTCTGAGACAAGCTACTTCCTCTTCTTTGTTTTTTCCCATAACATGTTCTTGGGTAAAATCACCATTTGAATTACTGTCATCAAGTGACAGATGAGAATTTGTCTGACATAGAGTAGAGGAAATATGATATGGGAGAAGGGCACTTCCTGCCAAGGGCACTGGAATAGAAGTGACAATTCCTGAAGTACAAAGCAAGGCCTGCTGCACAGTGTACTCCTTTTTGTATTCCTGCACTGGTTTCGTCACCATAATTGCTTGATTGTTAAAAGGGGAAAATGTGAAGGTCTGTGTAAATGGCACTACACTTTCTGCATTCACATATTTAATATTATCTGTAGAAACACTAACTGCTGCCTTTGTTGTGAAGGGCACATCAACTTGAGATAGCTCAATGAATGCTTCCTGTATTACAGACTCAGACAAATCTTCTGCATATGACTTCACTACTTTGTCTTCAAAATCAAATGACTGACACTGCGGAGATGCAGGTGTTGAAGGATATGAAAACTGACATACTTCCATGATGCCTTCAAAAACAAGCTCTTCGGCAAGATCTGCAGCAAACCTAGTGACTGTGTTTGTAAATATCTGCTTCTTTACATACTGTAAATCTTTTAAGGCATGTGAAAAGGCTTCACTCACCAAAAAATTAGCCAGGCCACTAATGGCACGTTGTTTCAGTGAAAATGCATGCTGCCTTCTCAGTTCATTAAATGCCATCTGAAAAACAGATGATGTCAATTTGATGGCTAAGTGGCACAATGCATTGGTGCATGAAGAGACTCCTTTCTGTAAGTCTTTAAATGCACTGCCAAAACTTTTTTCTACAAGATCTGCGGCAAATTTCTGAATGCTATCTTTAATCATTAAAGATTTATTTTTATAGTTACTTTTTTGATCAAGGTTTCCATGCTTAAAAGCAACAGTTTTATTTTCTCCTCTTTTAATACTATTAAAGCTTGACATTTCATTAGTATGTTGGTTATGAAGAACTGACTCTAGTACTTTACATGAAATGCTATTTGCATAATCTTCATAGGTGTAATAAACGGAATCATGGGTCTGATTTCCACCATTATCTGTATGGCAAAAGCATTCAGCAGGAGTACAGCTTCCAAGAGGACTAAAAGCAGAGGATCGAATAGGGCTAAACAAACCACTGTCGTCCCCTGACGCCTTTACTGGACGGGGAGAATCTGGAGCATCACACAGGTTGCTATACGGAGATTCTGGCTTACGAGGAGTTGGCTTTTTAACATTAGCTGGAAGAGCTGGGCAATCAGACTTGAATTTCTGAGGATTCATACAAGATTTTTCATGTTTGAGTCCTTTCTTTCGCAATGACTTCCCTTCAACAGGGTCATTTATAAATAGACAGGAAGGCTCTGAGGATTGTTCTAGTTCATCAAACTGATCAAAACTATCAAAAAATTCACTTACTTCTGAGTCTGAATCCTCTATATCATCTTTCATCACAGGAATTTTAGGCAGCTCAAGTTTTGCTTTTAAACTTTTCTGATATCCTTCTTCATCCAAGAAAATAACAGGACTTGGACTTGAGCATTCTGATTCTGAAGAATAGGCAGGAGAAGAAGAAAAAAATGTTTTCTGTGCATCACTGATTTTATCTGAAGCATTAGATGACCTATAGAAACTCCTTTGGATCCAAGACTCTGAAACTGAAGTTGTGACTGAATTTTTTACAGAATGTGGTTCTTTATGTCCCAGAACTTTTATTAAGGGAGATGAGGGTTTAGCCAACGACTTCTGCTGTCTAGAGCTGACTAGAATCTTTAAATCATGGGTTTCCGTATGGTGACCACACATAGTCTGAGAAGCCATATCACACTGGCTCCGTGGTGTAGTAATGTTTATTCCTACAGGAAAAGAATAAAATGGTTAAATTTTTCCAGAACAGAACTTCTAAAAATTTAAATCAACAGAATGAACAGACATTAAGTGTCAAATCTTTATTTATAATATATCTTCTATACTATGTGAAGAGATTCATCCCAAGTAACATTTAAAAACAAATACCTTTTACTAAAATAATAATAATATCGTTTTACCCAATGTCTAGGGACATCTAGAGTATGGCATCCTTAGCTTGTTGTCATGGATGTTAAAAATACTACTATGGTGACTCTGGCAGCTAATTTTTCTGAAATTTGAACCCAGACAGGTTCTGAACACCAGGTGATAGGGTAAACAGAGCTTGAACAGTACAACCTGAATAACAGAAGTAGCAAAACTAAAAACAAGGTAACGATGAAGCTGAATATCACAGGGAAACTCCTCTGCAACCATAAATAGGTTAAAATGTTTAAACTTGATAAAATTTCAACATAAATTTCAATGGAACAAGTGTGTCCTGTAACTTTCAAAAGTGATCTTTCCAGAAATATGAGGATCTCTAGGGGAAAAATCTAGTAAAGAAACAAAAACAAACCATCATTATATGGCTTTGAAGCCTCTTCTTCCTCCAACTGCTCAAAAGCAGTGACAAAGTCATCCTCTATGGAAGACACAGACTGGTTAGTGTCATCATCATCTTCATGAGTGGTCTCAAGCTGGCGGTTCTGATGCAAGTACGTGTCCAGGGTATATCTTATACCAGTAGCATATTTACTTAGGAGACTAAAGATAAAATCAATTCTGAGTCTTGGTAATATAGGTGACACTCTCATGACACAAAGCATTCCAGAATGATGACTCTTGGGAAAGAAGAAAGAAGATAAAAACAATTTTAATTTCAAATATGAAACATATTATCTGGAGAGGCCTTGAAATAAAACAATCTCAGAGGAAAAAACACAAAATGCACACATCTTGAAAGGCTCTATAGTTTTGCAATGTTTTATTCTTCCTCCTTTACATTTCTCAATTCCCAGTCCCTTTTTCTCCCATGTTCCTCTTACTATCTCTTCAACTTCTACTTTATCTCCTTCAATGTTATAGAACCTACTATCTATTCATTTTCTTGAGCAATTATGTTTTCTTGTATAATTGTAAAGTGTTGTGATTTGCCTTATTTAATCATTCACCTATCTCATCAACTACATTATAAAGGGCTTGAGAACAGCAACCAGGTTCTACTTTATTTTTTATGCCATTTTCCTGTGGCTTCCAGGGTGATGCCATGTTTCCTCCTACCACAATAAGAAAACTGTCTCCTTTTGACTTAAATTTACCTTTCACTAAAATTTACAATAATGTTCACAATAATGTTCAGTTTTAATACAAGTCATCAAATTTTCCCCCAATACTATCTTTAAAAACACAAATATTGACAAATGATTTATCTTAAAAAGTAGAAACCAAATAGCTAGTCACCTTTACATCCTAGCAAATAAAGCAAAATAAGTATGAATGAAAATATAAAGAAATGAAGCAAGTAGTTCTATTTTTTTATCAACAGACTTTGTAAAGAACACAGTGGCATTTTACACGAATAAGAAATACACATTTTAAAGCTACAAGTTTCATTTGTAAATGTTTTATCTCCTAAAACACAGTACTTGCCTATCATGTACAAAGCCTTGGGTTCAATTCCCAGCACCATGATTAAATAAAATAAAAAGCAAGGAATTTTTCTTTGATGTATTATCAACAAATCACTCTTAGTTATGTTAGACGCTAACTATGAAATTAACCACCTATTTGAAATGGTGATATTTTCATTTATAGATTTAAAACACATCATTGCATGTCCACTATACCTAGAAAAATTTTAACCAGAAAATGAGGTGAAGTGCATGCTCTACCAAATATAACACAATATTTAGGTAAATTTGGACTTGACCATAAAAGCAGAAAAGTCTCTATGACTTATATAAAGGTAGAAAATTAAAGAAATCTAGAAATAATAAATTTTCATTAAAAATTAGTACGTACTTGCATATGACTTATAAAACTTCATAAAGAAAAAAACTCCATAGAGAAAACATTAATAAGCCATGACTAAAATGCTGTCAGGTATGTCAACACTGTATGAGTTAGACTTCTTGAGTCCTATTTACTTAAGATAGCATTAAGAAAAGAAAATCGAAACATTTCAGTTCAATACTCTTGATTAAATGTAGTAAAAGTTGGCCCAAAAAATTTATTACCTGATTTAGAGGACCACTGTTGATATCTGATGATTTATTTATACCCTTCATACAAATAATTTCATTTTCATTTAGACTACAGAAGTGGAGTGAATTCAGAAGATCTGGAAGTTCCAAAGACACTGCTGCTAAATCCTAATTTAAAATAATAACAAATAACACTATAAAATTACACTTTTGCTAAGGTTCCTACAATGTAGTCTCAAAAATCATTAAGGTCTGCTGACTAATAAACTGACTCATAATAGTACACATATGCAATCTATTATCTTTTTAATTCAAAAATTTTAAGTACTACAAATTATTTAATACTGCTTGCCTTGTAGACTTACAAATGTATTCCTATCAAGCTATATAATACATTTTAACATACTACCTCACATATGCATGACATTTATGCATTTAATCATTTTTAGCAAATGTCAACCTATGGTCCTCAGGTTTAACTGTGGAATTTTGCTCACAGCCTTCATTCTCAGCTATTGAATGTACTTCCTCAGAGCTTAATTTTTAATTTTGCAAAATATAGGCCCATTTTTCTGCCTTTCCTTTTCAATGTACTGTTACTGTCTTCAACTGAAAATTTTATGGAGATTAAAGGAAAGGAAGTTAGCTTTTGTTTTTTCATGTTGCCTCCTTTTACATAAATATTTTATCCGGATAAAGAATTATTGAAGTCCTTGACCCTTTGAGAGTCAAATGCTTTGTAAAATAAACATGGTTTTATGAGTAAGGGTTAAAAAAAAGAGTATCAGAGAAATACTGTGAAACATTTCCCTTTTTAGCCATACAATCTCAGGAGTATGTCCTCTTGATTCCGTCTCTGAGCTCTTCCAGCTAAGGTACTCAAGACATATAATAGTGTTTTCATTCATAGCCACCTGATGTGCAGTATTCACAAAGAATAGAATAATGTTTTGTCTCCTTCTATTAGGAGATGTTTTACTACCACAAAAAAAAATATGTAGTAAATTTTCAAGCAGCAGCAGGAGGATACAAGTAGTATCTAAAGGATAGTTCAACCACACTTGATGTAGCTTGGAAGCCTTCCTTTGTTGATTCTAATCTCAAATACAGTCCCTCTATAAATGCCTAAATCAAATAGGCTAAAATTTTTACACTGGTTAATTGTGACTTTTTATAAATTTTATCTTTGATATTTAACTCTACGCCAACTAAAATCTAAGAACTTTTACTATTGAAGTCAAATTAAGAAAACCATCAAAATAATGAAACAAATATCACATTCTATATGATCCATGGAATACAGAAAAAAAGAATCAAGATATATTATGTACAGGTACAAATTCCCCAAGATGAATGTGATCATTATGTATATTAAAAATGTACCAATAAAATTAATTTTTAAAAATTTGTTCCAAATAATCTCTTACAGCCCTTTCCAATTCGATAAATTGACTATACCTGTATATGAGCAGCATCTGTTTCTTCATTAAAGCCCAGAAATGTGACCTGAATAATAAAGAAATAAAACTCCATTAATTTGATTTCTTAAGTATTGTCTCAGATTGTTCACAGAGCTGAGAAATAGAAAAAAAAGCACAGTAAGGTATTAAAATGCTGACTGCCTTGGGCAAGACAAAATTTTCAAAGATTAAAAAGTTTTTCACAAAGCTTTGGGTCTAGTTTTGAGCCTCATTCACATCTTCCTCGCTACATAGTTTAATCAATTCTAACTCTAAAATAGATTTCAAATACATCCACTTCTCTCCACGTCTCCCATCTCTGCTTCTCATTTGCACTGTTACAACCTTCTTCCAACTGATCTCACTGTCATGCCACTACCCTATGCAAACACCTCCATGTTTCCCAGGGGAAATTTCTACCCAGGGTTAGCGGATGCCTTCAGCTGTCCCTCACTGTCATTCAAACACACAGGCCCTTTCCAGTTCTAGAAAATACCCTGAACATTTTGCCCTAAGCATCTCAAATTTGAGCCCCTCAATCTCGATCTTGCCTCTATGGATGTCTGCACGTCCTTATTCATTTTTCAAGTCAACTCAAATGCCACCTCCTCTGGGTAGACCCCCAAGGCTACTTTCTCACTATCTATGATGCTACCATTTATTTCCTTTAACATCCTCATAGAGTTTACTCACAGAAGTTTATAGAAATTAAATTTCTAAGGAATATCTAACAACATGAGGATTATTAAATAAAAAGGACAAGTTACAAAAAACATCCAGTATGCACCCAATTTCAACTTTATTTTTAAAAACATCTGCATAGAAATAATACTGGAAGGCAAGTGATTAACTCTAACTAATGAAATTACAGTCACACCTTGAAATACAACTGCTCTGGAACTCAACATAATTTTGTCCTGCTACTCATCATTTGTTTGGTACTAGACACACAAGTTAGAACTTGGTGTCAACTGCCATGAAACTTGCTGATCTTTCCTGCAAAAAACTTTGTAGGATACTTATCATTTTTGGCCCTCACCATACCTCCGGGAACCAATTAACAACAAGTACCAAGGTACCACTGTATATGTGATCTTATTTTTCTCATTTGTACTTTTATTTCCTAATTCACAATATCAATGATATTTTCATTTTTATACTTTTGATAACTTCTCATTTTTTTACAAAGAGTATGTACTACTTTTACAATCTGAAAATGGTGTTATTTTAAACATTTATATTTTATGTCTTTATCATCATAGAGTTTTTTTCCACCTGAAGACTGAATAGTAAACAATTAAGTAAGTACTATGGCTGAAAACACACAATAGTTAGAGGGTAGCAATATAAATAATAACTTGGTAAGAGGGAGGAAAATAGAGTTAAAATATCAATCAACACTGGATACACTTTTGATCTCTTTCTGATTGAGAAGCCAGAGTTTTAAATTACCCTGCAATCTTTATTCCGATTAATTATGGTTACTAACTCAGAAAAGTGTTAACTTCCAGGCATCCAGACAAACGTTAACCTCTAGGAGCCTACTTCCTTATACTACAAAACTTTGGGCAATACAACTCACTCTGACACATACAAATACTCAATAAGAAATGGAAATTATCTCAAATGACAAATTTCTTTACTTTCTTCAAACGGATACTTTCAGATAAGCATAATCTAAATTGGAACAGAAATCCCTATAGAAGTCTTTCAAGTTTCCTTTTCTTAATACAAAAGAGAAAATATGCTAACATGGGATGCTGGAGACACCAAGAAAGTATTCTGTTGCCTATTGACGAAGAAAGGCCTCATCAGTGAAAGCGAGCTTGGATAGACATAGAAGCAGCTGGAGAGATATGGGCTGCCAAACTGTTGAGAGCAAATAAACACAGACTTGTAACACTTGCCAAGAAATAATTACATTAAGAGTGGCTGAACTTTACTATAATAAATAGGGACATCAAAAAAGGTAAGTCAAGGCTCCCAGTGCCAAGGAGGTGAACTTTCCAGGCCACCATACCACCGCCCTCAGTGCTGAGGAGATCTGCCCCTAGCACCAAGAGGGTGAGCTTTCCAGGACACCCTACCTCCACCCACAGCGGCAAAGAACAGAGCCACCTCCAGTGCAGAGGAGGTGAGCTTTCCAGGCTGCCGGACCACTGCCCCGAGCACAGAGGAAGTGAGGCACACAGGCGTCAGCAGCACACACAACCCCACTGAACTGAGAAGACACATAAACAAGTCTCAAAACCAGACTTCCAGATCACCTAAAGCAACCCCAAAGGGAAACAAGAGGGAACACTGATATTCAACCACCTGGACTCCCTGAACTGGCAACAAAAGAGGATCTGCAAAAAATAAAATCAGAAATAATTTCACACATAACAACAGAGATTGTACCCATAGTACAAGACATGATTAATAAATCTAAAGAGGACACACATTAAAAAAATAGAGGAGCTGAGGAACATGATGGAATCCCAACATAGGAAACAAAAGGAATCCACAAAACATGTGCAAACACATTTACAGGAGATTAAAAACTCCACTGAAAGTTCATGTAGCAGAATGACACAATCTGAGGACAGAACTTCAGATATAGAAGATAAGACTGTAATAAGTGACCAGGAAAAGAAAAATTGCTTTAAAATAGTAAGGGACCATGAGACATCAATCCAGCAGCTGCTAGATGATGCAAAGAAGAATAACATATGAATGACTGGAGTCAATGAAGAAAGAGGAGAGAGTACACACGACATTAAAAAAAACGTTCACAGAAGTGATGGCAGAAAACTTCCCAAGCAGGGGAAAAGAACTTCACATACAGATAAGCGAGGCATATATGACTCCAACTAGCCCTGATCAAAAAAATCTACACATAGGAATATAATTGTTAAGATTCCAGAAACGCAACATGAGAACAAAGTTCTACAAGGAGTTAGAGAAAAGAAACAAATGACATACAAAGGAAAGCCCATCAAAATCACAGCAGACGTCTCAATGCAAACCCTAAAGGCAAGAAGAGCTTGGAGTGAAGTACTGCAAGCCCTAAAGGAAAATAGCTTCCAACCCAGATTAATGTACCCCACAAAACTATCTTTCAGAATTCATGGAGACATAAGATACTTTCACGACAAAGAGCACCTTAGGAAATTCATAAAAACCAAACCAGCACTCCAAACAATTTTAGACAATATGCTAGTAAAAGACAACAAGGATCACAACCCCAGGAAGCCCAACAGAATAAATCCATCAGGCATGGCAACAAATTAAACACAAAGGGGGAAAATCCAACAAAAAGAAAAAGTCATGACAATGATAAGTCAATACATATCAGTTACAACCATCAATGTTAATGGTCTCAATTCATCAATCAAAAGTAATAGACTGGCAGAATGGGTCAAGAAGCAAGATCCAACAATATGCTGCATACAAGAAACACACTTAATTCAAAAAGAAACTCAGACTGAAAGTTAAAGGGTGGAAAACAATACTCTATGTTACAGGAACCTGAAAAAAAGCAGGAGTAGCTATCTTCTTTGCAGATCAAGTGGATTTCAAACCAACACTGATTAAGAGAGACAAGGAAGGATACTACATCCTTGTAAAGGGTACAATCCAAGAGGAAGAGATGACAATCAACAATATCTATGGACCAAACACTAGTGCACCCAACTATATAAAACAAATACTAATGGACATGAAAAATCATATAAGCACTAATAGAATAGTAGTGGGGGATTTCAATAACCCACTGTCACAAATAGATAGATCAACCAGATAAAAATAACAAAATACTAGAACTCAATCAAACTCTTGAACAAATGAACTTAACAGATGTTTACAGACTGTTCTACCCCCATAAAAATCAGAATATACAATCATTTCAGCTGCACACAGGCTGTTCTCCAAAACAGACCACATACTCGCTCATGGAACATATTTAAGTACAAAGGAATTGAAGTTATTCCCTGTATATTATCAGACCATAGTGTGATGAAACTGGAGATCAATATCAAAAGAAACCACAAGAATTTCATAAACACATGGAAATTGAACAACACACTTCTGAATAACCAATGGGTCACAGAGGAAATTAAAGAAGAAATC